TATATAAAGTGCTGTCATTAAATTTTGAAACTCAGACAATTAATGTTAACATACCTTTTCCACCTTTTCAAAGTTGCGCATTTTCATCTGAAACAGTCACAAAGTTTGCACACTAAAGTTTTACTCGAAATAATAATAAAAAATTATTTAATACAAAATGAAATAATAAGCTGTAATTGTTTACATTTATTATTTTAGTAAATAAAATTAATGAGAAATGTGATAATACTACCTCTTGTTCTATATAAATTTTCCAATAACGACCAGCGGAAGGAAACACACTGACGAGCTTCTCAAAAACTGGCCTTACTTCTGTAATAGGTCTGTTCTGTGCTTCTCTGATAAGGATGCTCCATGCTTCGAGATCATAAGGGGATTCGTCTACCGTTTTCTGGGCACGCTGCAGTTTTTCGTTTCCCCAATCCTACAAACAAGAAAACAGGCAATTATACCAAGTATACAATTTAGACCGCGCATTTTACAAAGTGAGGTTATATATACTCGGTGTATGTTTTTAAGATATTATGGAATATACTTACGAACTCCGTTTTATCATCAGTCATTTTGTATTCGCCTAAATAATGCTAATTCCCTAAACTAAAATCTCTTGCGAATCCAAGAGTCGAAGACGGAAATGAATGAAGAAAAACCCACACACCCAACTCGCAACGGCCTGTAATTTTGAGTATGCAATATAGTTTGGAATGTCGATTCTATTCGATATATCGTTCGCAGAGGTCGTTCGATACCTATGTAGTCTGTTTCGATAGCAGCCATTTTAACGAGTCAATGGCTTTTCGATTTGTGAAAACGTGTTAAAAAGTTCTTGCTAATTTATGAATTTTTAACTTCTGTGACGTATATATTAGTGTGTGAAATGCAAATATTAAGATGCATTTAGAAATATAATTATATTTAAAATAAGAGTGCAATTACGTTCAATTAGTTATTCAGTCTGAACAAATTGAATGATCTCAGCACCTAGTTTATATAATTGCATGAAGGTAAAACATATAATTATTAATAAAACAATATCACAGTATTGTTCATATCTTTTTATACATCATACAAAGACTACAGCGTAGGCAAAAGATTTTAATTATAATTAATATGATGTTTACCACAGTTATAAAACTGTATTTTTGAAATATATTGGAATGTTGGATATACAATAATTAATTTTGTGACGCAGTCACCCTTATCTATTTCTTACCCCTTTCTTTAAGAAAATTCTAAATTGTTGACTAAAATATTACTACATTTCCTTGTAAAAACAACTTCTAATCTCGCCCCCGGGTGGGCTCGAACCACCAACCTCTCGGTTAACAGCCGAACGCGCTAGCCGATTGCGCCACGGAGGCTGATGTTTGTAGCTTCCAAATATTACATCACAATATGCAGAATATTTATCATATAAATAGACAATTTATACGAAGAAACATATCAAATTATCAAAAATATATCATTACTCGACACTGGTATTTCCATAATTAAATATAACGTCTATAGTTATTTCAAATTTGAACCTTAATGTTTTCCAACAAACCAACTTGTTAAATATTTAAGAAAAATTTAAATTATACTTGTCCAACCAATAAATGTACTTACGCAACTGTACTTTCATTCCTGTCGAACAGCAAAGCATATTACAGGCGTTTATTTCTTTTTCAGTAACCGTGTGTTTCCGACTGCGAAATTAATGACGCTAAGAAGACTGACGAAAACTTGGAAAGTGAGATTACAATTTGCATTTAAACATATTCTAATTTAATTATCAATAAGATATAAAAATAAGAAATTATATCGTAAAAAAGCATGTTCTTATTTTAAGAGTATGGAATTTTAAATTTTGTCATAATTACCGTTATGAATTATTCATTAAAACGATCGAGATTTATTTCGATTGTCATTAACTTTCACCTAATTCATGTACATTACACATGGTGATTTCGATTTTGGAATGATAATTTTTATTTTCGCCATAACAATAATTCGCTAGGTTATAATTCAATTCGTCTCATTCATCATATTGCATTCTGCTTCGAATTCGATCCGAGCAATCGAAAGAAGACGTTTCGATTTTCGAGCATAAATAGGTATAAGAATTGAAAGCTACTACCGCTGGTGTATCGGTCACGATCGAGTCAAATCTACTGTGACGAGTCCGTCGATCAGCCCGGGGCGCGAATTCAACGTCGATCTCAGGTGAACACCTACATTCTGGTACTGTTATGCCATAGAATCTTGAGTGGATGCTCAGGGGGTTCTCATCGTTTCGCGTACAATATAGTAATCTGAACGGTATTAGAAAAACGATCGGGCACATTTGAATCGACCGCATCGTGAGAAATGTGCAACGTAAAAATTCTTTAACCATAAAGATACAAGTTTTTCATGTAAAAATCGCATGGAGACACTTTAACCCTGTGAGTCCCTTTTGCCTTTGCACCTTTTATTTTTTTAATTAAATTATAAGTAGTAATAATAGTGTGTTAAAATACCAAGAGAAAATGTAAATTAAGGGTAGTACTATTTTGGCGCCAAATTCAAAACGTAAATATGCGTTCGTACTACTGAAACGGTTAACAAAGCTAGTTTTAGCGTAGCAAAGAAAACTGGATTATTCTTGTTAAAGAAAAAACTCGATACTGTAGATATTCTACAGGGGAACGATGACACGGTTTTTCGGCTGGGACGATCTCGCGCGGAGATTCATTATACACAGAGTTCCGAAGTCGGAACAGATCGATTAACGCGTCAATTTGCATTTAAGCGTAACTAACTTAATGCAGGCTGCAGATGCATACATGCAAACTAAGCTGTGCCTTACAAATGATGGCTCGAACCATGGACCATTTGTTACTCGTGCCCTGAACAAATTTCTGTTTTGCATAATGGAGCAGATAGTGCATGAACTAGAGAACCTTCTAACGCTACCTTCCGAACTGAACCTAAATTTTCTACGATTTTTTCCAAAATTTGAACGGTTAATTTCGAAGAAACTTTCGTCATCCAATGGAACACGAAGCAAATCTATCGTAAATCGATTACCTGTTTTAAGAAGAAATGAGATCATGTTTCTTCGTCAATTTATTCCCAGAAAGAAGTGCACATGGTATAGAGAGCAAAATGACGGAAAACATTGAACCCTAAATTAAGACAGTGGCCGGCGGAGCAACGAGGTGTCGATAATGAATCTCAGCGTTAATTAGAGCCCGAAGGTGAGACGATAGGTAGCTGGTCGTGGCATACCGATATCTTCTTCTCAGTCTTGCGCGCACACATCGCAAAGTAAAGCCTAACTGAAACGTCACGCCACTTGTTACTCGTTAGTGTGCACGATGCCATCTTTACTGCTGGCCACTCGGTCGGGTTACTCCTACGGCAGAGCCACATCGATACCAGTACGGCCGTGTAATTAACAATGTTCTCCGCCTTTGTCCGGCCTTGTTCAAGCCGGGCTTCTTAAACAGATTTCGTCGAAGATCGTTTTAAACGGGTACACGCATGCCTGTCCGTTGTATTCCTCAGAGTTGAACAACGGATTCGAAATGAAAATCAAGATATCGTTGAGAAATCTATTCGATTCCTAACCAGTTCTTCGTTCATTACTCCTGTAGATTAGAAAAAAGTGTGATTTCTAGGAGAAATCTGGAATTTTCTGGTACTCGAATTCGAGAAATTGTGTGTTAGAGGATTCCTATATAACGTTAGATCGCATCAGATGGAGTTAGTTCGTCGAACGGGACAAGGAGAGCCTTGGTCCAATCTCGAAGGTATCTTTCGAGCATCGACAGAGAGTGGCTTCCATTAAGCTGGGCGGTGGTCCCTCGTTATATCCGGGACAGGCAAGTTCGTGGCTGCTCATCTGATAGTCCGAGGATTTATGGCGGCCCTGATGGTTCATTTAGCGCTGACATGACTGGACAGGGGCGGGTCGAGACGCTTTTACGTACGTACGTGTGCGTGCGCTAACGCGACAATACGGAAATATCTTGTTAAAAACAGGTTGAGTAACGCTATAGATTGGTCGATTTAACTGCATACGCATCATCTGTCAAGTGCATCAATTGGGAAATAAGCCTAAACTGCGCCTCGAAAAACCTTTATTAAATAGTTGCTGTTCGTTAATCGTAGGGGGGCAGGGAACGCTCGTTTCCAGCCGGTGAAATATTGGCTAGAATTTGTCAACGCTGACTTATTGTATTATAGAGTGTCGAATATTGATAGCTGTATCATCTGCACCCTCTTTGTGGGAAATTCGAAGCACGAAAATTTAAGGAGCAGAGAAAGTGTCAAGGATAATAAGGAGAACGTAGATCTAGTTACGATATTAAAAAAGAAAATAATTAAGGGGCACATGGCTAAAATGAACGGTTTCTGTTGGGTTTGATTATTTCCACCTTGTGGAGCCAAGTGTTATGTAGGTTCAATTAAAATTTTAACAAAAAATATCAAACCCTTCTCGATTTATGATGTTCACCGTCTTGAGAAACCAGGCTTTGAGAAAAGGGGTGTATTTAAAAACGCGGCGTATTTACCTACTTTGAGCCCGCCATTATCTTCCACGTTGTAACTTCCGTAATTTTGTGAATTTATCAACGATAAATTCTTTTTTAACGATTGAAGCTTTCGTAAACAATCGAGAAAAAAATTTCAATTTTTTGCACTTGTAATAATGTACCCCCTTGAATAACTATTATTTGCTAAAATAATAACTGAACGGTATATGAAACATCGAAGACCCAAGAAACACAGCAAAGAAGCATATTACAAAACGCTACTTTATTCAAATTCCACTTCTTTCGATCTTTCAATCCCATCGACTGCACGCTTCGCCCATCGGAGCGCCTTACTCTTCACCCTATCACCGCGACTCATCTACGCTCTCGCGGCTGTGAGCCTCCCAGGCAGTTTTGCAACATTGTCTCGGACATACCATAAAAGTTACACATCGTTGATTTTCCATCTCTACTCTGAGCTCCTCTCTGACTCAATGTCGAAACTCCCGTCTGGACGGGCGCGCGCGTAAATTACCCGCAGCGAGTGGTAAAACTCACGGAGCGTGTGCTCGCGATCCCGATCCCCGGCTCGGCTGTAACTTTCCGAGATTCATGCGCGATAAACGCGGAACCGGCGTAAACCGCTTCTAATCCGTTAATAACACCGCGAGCGAATAATTGATATCGTGTAATCGTCGCTCGATGCGTCGTTTCGACGGATCGTGGGACGAGATGAAACGATCCTCCGCGAGGCGATAATGTTCGCCGATTATTGAATTTGACGAGGAGCAGTATAAACCGCAGGGCGCACAGTCGGTGGCCGCAAACGACCAATAAAGTACAATCTATGCTTCGTCCACAATACTGACAGGACTATCATGTTCGTTTTGCAAAGTAGATTGCAAGGCTTTACGCCGACTCTTTAATGAGCTTTTGTCTTGTGACAGAACTTGAGATATTGGAGATAGCAATTGTGGTTTAATAGGTTGTACGATGAAGATTTTGTTGAAAAATCATATGTTTAAACGTGTTATTAGCAGTTTTCTGAAGTAACTTTTTCTATATTCTAATTTGTATTTCTTGAGGTTTCTTCTTTACAAGATACATCTTTTTCTCATTATCCGTTTAGGAACATTATTGATACGTGAACTTTAGGATTGACCTCAAATTATATGATA